CCACCATCGTGATCAATGACATGCAAACATTTGCTAATTAAATGCTGGATGCTATCTTCTTACATAGAAGGGGGCTGACGATCAAATAGTCGGTTAGATCTCTTTTGACACGTTCGCGCTGCACACGTGATTTTTTACGAAAGCCTTTCACTGCCATCGCACAAGCGAGACTTTCTTAAGTTGACCGTAAGTGGTGATTAGTGTTAAGCCTACTTTGAAAACAACAAGAGCTACGCCCAGTGGCTACCTTGTGGAAAGACCCGCTGGCTCAACCGAAGCCTAAATTTTACGTTCAAAAGATTATGCCATCGATTTTCTATGATTGACAGTTCATGTTGTGTCAACGCCTACAGGGAAAGTCTCCGGATGATGGGCGTTAGTAATGCAAGCAAAGCGTCCGAAACGTCGTCACTGTTGCTCCGTTCTTCAACATGACGATCGAAATCATACTGCAATTCTACTTCTCTCTTTTTGAAAATACTAGGATGGACCACGGTACCATACCCACCGTATAGCCCGGTGTTGCTCTATCAATTTGTCAACGCCACGCGCCTTGAAGCAGCATCTGCGGGAGAAAAGAATTTGTAGACAACAACCAGCACAGAGGCTTAGAGATGGCTTCACTGACTTCTTTGGTTCCAGCCTAAATCTTCCTGAGAGAAAGGTATTCAGTCATTGTCAAGCAATTGGCTACGTATCATTGGTCATGATGGTGAGTGAATTGTTGATTAGGTGATTTCTTTGAATGAAAACAGTTGTCTTAATGAGTTGTCGAGATAAAAAGAGAATTGATACCTCCAATTGCTATATTAGGAAAACCTGAGACTCCTAGTGTAAATGTAAGAGTTGCAAAGACGTCTTTCACGCTGACGTCACTAACATGGAGGTGATAGGCACTGGGTACGATATATTTATATAGATGAGCTAATATAGAAATTGGAAATCGAAATCTGTTTCAATCGAGTTTAGTAAACGCCTTTTCAGAAGGTAGAGTGAGAACTCGATAGCAGCTCAATCAACGATCTGTTTCCTGATAATTTCGGTACTAATCATCACGACAGTGTTGGGATGTGGAGTGATGCCATCAGGTCAAGGTATTAAAGTTAAATTGTATATTAGTGTAAAGAAGTTCATTTTCAAAGATAATACAGCTGATTTTGACTAGATTGAATGTATCAAAATCTATGCGGAACTGAGGGGCTGTCACAGTGCCAAGCTCTAAAAAATTTGTTGATCTGAGTAATATGGTCTTTATTCTATTCTTCTTTTCTAAAATTACAATATCTGCTTGCAGCAAGTAGCAGAAGCTTTACCGTCGCCAACTTTAAATTACCGTCCCCATCGTTTAGTGAAGTGGCCAGTGTTCGAGCTGAGGCTGTTGGCATTGCAATAAGCAAGGACACAGTTAAGGCATTTCTTGAACGTCTTGTAATGCAAAACGGTGAATTCGCCAAACTTGCAGATTTTTGCTCAGTTTTCGATACAGAACGTGAAAATCAATTCTCTGGTAATACGCTACTCTCATAGTATTGATGCACTTCATCATAATTTTTTTACCTCTAAGATCTATAAATAAACTTTTCTGACTCGTGGAAACTCGACTGTTTAGGTCTTTGATGTGCTGGAACAACAAAGTCGCAGTGCTCTCCTTCCCGATGCAATAATCTCCGCCATTTTAGGTCAACTTAGAGTTCAGATCAATTATGAACCACCGCAATGTAAAAGAGCCCATGTTAACAGATCTTAGTAGGGCGAGTGAGTTTGAAATTTCTGCACCAGCTATTACGGACACAATTTTAACGCGGAATGGCACTCAAAAAAAAAAACTACATTTTCTTTCATGCTATTACGAAAATAATGTCGTATCAGATTTGTGGAAATGGCTTAGATGCGGCAAAAGTGCTGTTCTTTGCACTGGCCGTGACGTGTGATCGCTGATGGAAAGTGACTAGCAGTTTACTGCACTATTACGTCTATTTATTGCTACACTTAACTACTACTTTTATTTCAATTCTTTAACTACTCACACCCTTGTCTATCATCCTGGGCAATTTGAAAAAGACACCTATATTCAGTCCCAACATGTTGATAGAGGTTATGACAAATAAGTTCTTCTAAGTTCTTCTGACGTATAGAACCGCGACAATGGTTAAGGTTGACAGTTTTCGGGTCGCGATCAAGGTGTCACAAAGTAAGTGAGAAACTAGATCTTTCCTTTTTAATCCTTTTCTACATGTTAAAAGTATTGGTCAAATTCTTGTCCCAGCAACTTTTGTAAGTTGCATAAATAATATATTTCTTCTTCCAAAAAGCAACTACAAAGTTACTTGCACTTTGCACTTCTTAATCCGTCATCGCAGTATTATTTCCATTAAGCGGACCAGTACTTCTACCATTAACTCGTTTTCCATCTTCTTCTTGAACGTTGTAGAATACTGTTCAGCACGTCCCTTTGCAATCACATAGCTGGCTGCGGCTTTCATGGGCTGTTCATGTTGCGCTCGTTAAGACTGTTGGAAAGTGCTGAGGGGCGAGATTTCGCCCGTGCTCACTGCGACGAACATTAACCACTCGGCCGCGGCTTCTCCCTAGAGAGTTTAACCGGGTCTAGTAGCGAACCGTAAAACGCTTCAATTATACAGTTCTTGCAATAATCTCAAAATCGTCGCAAAGCTCAAAATTTCCTTCCCTTTTGATCTCAAAAAGTACTAAGGACATTTGTCGAAAAAGATCATCAGTGGAATTATTATTTCAGCGAATACACCCGATCTTTTGAGTGGTTTTATTGTGTAATGAAACAAGTACAAAAGGCGCAAAAGACACTGACCGAAGAATTTTTTTGTTATACTTCCTGAAATGAAAAGTGTTATAAAGAAGAGTTTTTTTTAGTCATGGGAGTGACAGGCATGATTCCACACTGTATCATTGTCCGGCAACACTTAACACCACATGCCCTGAAAGAACTCCCAGGGCGGGGAGAGCGAAAGAAGTTAACTGTATGCTAGGCATGGCGGACAAGGATGTCCAGACCGTTTCTGCCAATTACACGATAATCACACAGAACTCTTATGGTTTACAGTGTTTCTCAAGTTGTACTAATTCATTTTCGAGAAAATCTCTTTTCTTTCTCTTTTTTTAGACCGAATAACGTCATCATGGCAAATTGGTCGAAAGAGATGTGGCAGAATGTGCTCAATAGAGCGGTTCGAATGTTGGCAGCTGGTCCGTTTGCACCGCACTTCTCATCGGCTACTGAAACTGTCAATTAGAACACATATTGCACTTTGAGATGTCCCAAAAAAACGACATATCTTATGTGTTACTTCCTTCCTTAACTCTGCAGAGGTTCTGAAATAATTGGTCACGAATCAGTGGATTCATGTCACTGATCAAAGTTGAGTTTATAATGAGATGAGTCAAATTCTATGAACTTTACTAGTCGATTCAGAAACTGCACATTAAATTAAGAAAAAAATATTTTGTTAATAAATGGAAGGGATAGTTTTACTCAGATTAGATTTAGTCAGAACTTTACCACACTGACTGACCACAGTATTGCACTGAAAGAAGGACAATTTTGCCACGAATTTGTTTGTTGTTTAGAAGAATCAAACAAACGCGCACCTTACTACCTATGCAGCCGTACTAGCACTCGTGGATTTCTTATAACAATTTCCTCACCATTTAACAGCACCGAATGTGCGTTTTCAATTTATTATTGCTGAGTAGAGATACTTCACTTTTAAGTTCGAAGAATATTGCTAGCGCAATGTTAGCAAGGAGTAACTTCGAATTTTCACCTACTAGTACAGTGTCAATAAGAGACAAAAACGCTTCCGAAACGAGTTTCATTCCTTTCCTCTGAAACAATGAGTAACAGGCTTTTCACGTAGTCGCCCTACCTTAGTAATTGTGATGAGAGATTTGTTACATGGCAGATAGAAAACCAATGTGTTTTTGTCACTTGTACTATTCTCAAGTGGTGAATAGAAAAAGCCTTGATGTTTATCGATTCTAATAGTACGATTTGCAACTAATGGGTACATTTGCAAGAAAGCTGTGTGTAAACGAATTCAATAATCTCTGCTAAACGAATCACTCAGAAGTTAGTATGACTGCAAAAAACATTTTCGTGAACATCATCATATAGCACTTTACAAATCAAGTTGTTATTTTTAGGGGAAAGATACAATGTGAGTACAATCAGAAAGATGTTGAAATACGAAGAAAACTTGAACCCTAACATTTTTGTGTCACAAACCCTAAATGACTGGAGCCGTATCTCAGCAGTCGTGTGATTATTATTATGATTTACTTTCACACACATGATTTCCTATCAAACATTATTGTAAAATGATGGAACTTTTGCTTTTGTGCTTTGCATGTATAGGCGGTGAAAAGATCTCGTAAGAATTTGGGAGTTCTGAGGTGTCAAAAATGCATCATTTTGTGTTTTTTGAGTATATGATCGAGCTCTGTATGGATCATGCCGTTGAGGAGCTTCCATGTACGTTGGAGTTTTCCCTCATCTCGAATGAGTCACGAGAGGACGCGCCACGCACAAGAGTCCAAACGGTCTCCCAGTCTAAGGAAGTAAATGTTGGTGTTTTCCTTACCACGTCACATACAGCGTTGTTCTTCGCAATCTTCTTTATCAAAGGGTTCATAATATAAGTCGCATGTACCGCTGTCATTGCTTTTGATGAGCAACATAGATTGTCTATACACCATCTCATAAATAGTAGAACTGCAAAAAAGGTGTAGTGGTATATAATCTTAATTTGGTATGAATGAATTTATAGCATACTTAGTAGAGATAGCCATTTGAATGCCAAGCATTTTTCAAAGAGTTACGGTTCTAGAACGCTTACATGATTCTCTGTAATACCAGCTAACCAAGGATTTTTTGGATTAACTCACATTCGCCTTATAGTACGCGTACCGTACTGAAAGTGCAAAATGAATAAACCCATTAATGTCGAGTGGTGCGCAAAAATATTTGTGTCAGTCGGGATTCGAACCCAGACCTCACTCTTTCTCAGGAGCGTGTGCTGAACCGTTGCACCACTGACGCGTAGGAAAGACTGACATCTGGCTTCGATTTCCGGCTGACGCAAATGTTTTTGCTCACCACTCCTACATTATTATGAAACATTATTACATTATAAAACAACATAACATCGCAGTACGCGCTCAAATAAAATATATCTGCAAAGGGAATACCATGGCGAAATTGTTCAACACTCAGCAATTCAACTAATGCGATACGGAACTGCTACGATAGGAATTGTTTGTACATTATTATTTCATCGCTTATAAAAATTCGTTAGACGAAATTTGTCATCGCTCACTATGAATGACGGTGAAGTATATGCATTAAAATATTTGCTTCAAAATTTTCTGTGAGCATTGACAATGTCGGAAGGCGTACATATTAGGCTCGGTTTTGAATAAACTACTGACCAACATTGTAGTTTCCTTTTCCAAATCTATACTACTTCAGAAACAAACACAAATTTTACCCAGTGATGTAAAGTGATATACTAACACTACTGCGTCGGGCGGGGTTCGAACTCCACATTTCACTCTATCTGGGAGCGCGTTGCTCTTACCCGTTACATTACTGATGCCCATTTCGCACACCACTCTATGCTACAGCGCATCTATCTGTCAGGCCGCCAACAGTCAACGGCCTGGCCGTGTAGTCGGTATCGGCCTTAAACCCAATCAAGTTGGCAGATATTAGGTATAAAGGATCAAATGGTGTGCAAAATGGGTGTCAGTAGTGCAAGGGGTTAGAGCACTCGCCTCTCGGATGAGAGTGAGATGTGGGTTGGAGTGCCCGCCTAACGCGGAGGATTCACACATCACTCTACATCACTGGGTATATCTATAAAACTTACCACCCGCTAAAGCGGTTAGTTAAGCAATAATTGTCGATTTCTTTCCTACCACTTAAGTGCAGCATTTACAGCTGAAATTTTCCTTGTTAAAGGGCGTGGATTAGAGCTATATATATTGCTGTTTGTGTCTCTAGTACGCAACGATAGCTCAATCAAGTATTGAGTACCTCACTAAGCAACGAGCTTGTCCGGCACTGCTGGATTACGCAATGCGTGAGGGCATGTAGAAGTCACCGTGCTGCCATCGATAGTGCAGTATGGTAGTTTACTCTTCGAATCGACAGCAAGTATCTGCTCTTTCAAACAGTTGTATCCGTTGAAAAGTTGAAAAAACACAGCAACTTGTTTTTAGTGTAATTTCTGCTTTCTCACTTTCTACTACTATACATGAATTTAGATAAACTTATGAAAGGCACAGAATAAAATATCAGATCATATTGTCATTGAGAGATCTCAGAATAATAGATTGAAAGGAATGGTCACGTATGCTCTGTGAAAACCTCAACCCATGCAATCGGCAATCATTCACTCTGAACACCACGTTGATTCCTTCAGCGTACGTTGAGTGTAAAATGTTCGTCGCCGACTCCTTTTATATGAGGGATAGATCTCCGAGGAGCTGACTGAACGAAAAGACACCGTGCAATTGGCAAGGCTGTAAGGCCGAAACACGTGTCTTGCACTGTTTAAGTGCCTATAATAGTTCTCGTGAAGGCTCAGATGACAATTAAGATTATAATGAGCTCACTTCATTGAAACTGCGTGCATTTCTTGAAGCATGGATCAGAGTTTTTTATCAACAGATTCTTTCTTCCACTTTTGTGTTTTACTGTCTGAATGAATGCATAAAAAGTATTTATCACTCTATAGTATTTTAAAGATCATTGTAAGGAAAATGCACCACAATGGTGTAATATGGTGTGCAAAAAACAGTTGCGTCAGCAAGGATTCAAACTCAGATCTCACTCTTTCCAGGAGCGTGCGCTGAACCGTTGCACAACCGGGCGCACATTCCAGTACCACATCCCGGTTGACACAAATCCTTTTGCACACTACTCTACACTATTGGGTATACTGTAACATCGTACACACCGCAAATGTCGGTGAAATAAAAAGAAATCTGATTAAATATGCACACAGTTTGGAACAGGCTTTTCCATAGCCTCACGATACACTTATTTTATTCCGAAAGCTTCAACTGCCTCTGAAGCTTACGATTCGGTTGGTTAGGGAAGTACTTAAACTGTCATAACCCTAGAAAGTGATGATGTCAAACACATTCGCTTGCCTTTTATCAGTCTTGCATAGAAAGAATTGAATGACACGACTGCCAGTGATCGGACGATTACCATGTACATTTGTTTAGAACCTTACTAGCTCTACCTTTTCAGGATCCGACATCACGAATAGTGCAAAATCACAGTACTGTTCCTATAATGATTTTCCATCTTTTTCTAAAGGCGGTCCTTCTTTTTGATTTTTTGCACAATTTGCACGAATGAGTGCGCTACAACTCATCATGGCCATTGCAATAGCTTTGAGGCTATTGTAGAAATGGTGTAATCTGATTCTAGCGTTTTAACGGTGCGCTGATTGCACTGCCATGATTCTTGAGACTACCTCATGGAGGCAGAATTATAGATCGTTCGTGTTTACTATCAAAAGTGAAGGGGCAAGAAGCCTAAAGAATTTTCTTTATCTTAAAAGAAGATTGGAATAAAAAAATTTGCCGATCCGGAATTCTCGATGCTTTGTGTGTGAAATAAGAACGCACCGTTTCATAACCTTTTGAAAAAATTGATGGCTAAGTAGTATATTACTAACCACTTTCCCGTAATAGAGTGCGCATCATAAATTGATGGCAGCGGCACTTTTTTTGCCCCACTAATGCCATTTTCACATTTGTAACATGAGACGAATTCCGTAATGGTAATGAAGGGCGACAAAAGTGTACTCCTCTAAACTGAGCGAAAAGTTGAAAACTTATAACAGTTGCTCTTTGCATTCCAAGGGAGCATATCTTGATCTATATGTGAGATGCCAGAGATCCTTGTGTCTGACAGGAGAGCGCTAGGACCTTGCCGTTGGGGCGAAACCTATACAGCAATGTTTTAGAGAAGTCAAAAATGATTTTTGAGGTGCTCTAAGTTAGACTGTGGAATACGGTGCAACTTATTCTTGGTGTTACGGCCATTAGCGTATTGTCAGAAAATGGGTGTTTGCCTTCTATACCTCTCCATATTTCGAAGAAAAAGTGGAGTTATAGAGCTGTGAACTTACCGTTTACATTACAAAACGTTCAACAAGACGCATTAGCTGCGCACTTCTTCGGTGCAATTCCAAAATCCTCATTTCAACAGTGTTCTTTCTACTGTAATCATGGAAACAGGCAATCTTTAGCCGGTAACAGTAAAACTTCTAGTGTTCGCTGAAACAAAATTTCTTAGTTTTTGTAGATTAGTGTAAAATCATATCGTCCTGGCCAATATCAATTTTCGGAGCCTCTTTGTTTTTTATATTCAACACTAAGAGCTTTTTTCCAACGAAGTTTTGGACTGCGACAGCTTATTAATACTGCTTACATGTTAAATATTCTTAATCTAATATAACGTACCTCTGAAACTCTAACTGTTCATAACCACCATAATAATCTTCTTCTATTCATTACCGTGGCCTGGTGGTATCACTCCCAAATTCAACACTGTCGTGATGATTACACCAAATCATAATGGGACCTTCAGTTGCCTTGTCATGCCTACACGACTGTTCACTATTCCTCCCAAAAAGTGGGTGAATGTTGTACACTCGGATAGACATAGAATTTTACTTTTACATTAGATCGTTTATTATGATATTAACGGATTGAATGGTCAGCATTTCCATGTCAGTCACATCAGCATGATGGACGTTATTGCAACTTCTTGCTTTTTCTAGGAGTTTTGAGATTTCTCAACGCACTGACTCAAAGTGAAATCCTTCAAAGTGACTTCTCTGAAATATACTACTAATCGGAGACAAATAGAGGTTAGTTGATAAGGATATAAAATTTACCAACTATTTGACGAGAATATTTCAGGTGAAGGCGATCAAAAGCATTTGAACGTTTTACTTAATGTATCATTTTCTCATACCATAGCTCAAATTCGGGTTGCCCACATCTATTGCCGTGCCATTAAAACCGGTCGTTTTCTTTGAAATAAAAAAATTTACACTCGCAAACGACGCCCGCGGAAGTGCATTCGTATGAGAATTTCCGCAGAAGAATGTATCGCTTGAAAAGAAAGGAAGACTTTAGGTGCACATATTTCTTTGTATCGTATTTTATAAGCCAAATCGTAGTCCATTGAGTTTTTGATTTCCTATTAAACCTTTCTGGGCCGCGTATACCAGAAAGGTATCGAGATTTCTTGTGGTTTTCCTTGTCGTGAAGGAGGGTGTTCATGTAGCGTTGCCAATGTTTGCAATTTTTCACCCGCTGTGCAAACAATGTAGGATTTGTTGTTGTACAGTTTGTGTAATAAAATCTCGTTCTCACTAACACTTTCAAGCTCTCCTTCAACTCTCTTCCTCGAGTTAATAGAAGATAATGGGGAAATGTAGTTGATTAATGAGCCTTTCATGAGATTTTTTATGGGCACTTATACAGTGCAATACATGTAATTCGGCCTTCCAACATCTTCGGCTGGGCAATGCCTTTAGTCTGAGCCAATCTCTTTTAGAGTAGAACTTTCTTACATAAAGGAATTGTCGACTAGCATGGTACACTTCCGTGTGTAAAGTGAAAACTCATTTCACACACGGCAGAGATATCCCATCGTGGCATCTCCAAAGACTTGATCATCAGACACTGCAGTACTTAACAGACGATTACTTATATTCTTTTAAGCGACGTCTGAAGAAACAGTCAAATATGAAGACGATAATTGTGTAAAGTTTTTCAAAGATTTGTTTTCTATATGTGGGTAGTCAAAGTTCATTCAACATCTTAAGTTTCTGGGCGTTTGAAGTTTCCTACCACACCATCGCCTCCTGACGGATCTCACGACAAGCAGGAATTTCGCAGAACTGCATCCAATAAAAATCCAACATTTTGGTCGTTTTTAAGAACTTATTTATTCGTTAACAGAGCTGCTGTGCAACCTGCACTCTCTTTTCGAAATGGAAATTCTTT